ATACGGCGACCGGCACACTCAACGATAAATTTTTCGTCTTGATGACAGCGGTGTGCGAATGAACAGGCACATTTACGGCGGCCGTGCTAAAATACTAATAATCGCGCAGCCGGAGAGGCGGCGGCGTTAATTTACATATTATATATTAATTCACAGGTGATACGGATAATTAAAGCATAAATAAAAACAATAATATAAATATAGGAACAAACAGGTAACAGATAGGAGATGTGCGTGTGTGTGTGTGTGTGAATTTAACAAAACAAATATCGGTCGCTGACCTACACCGGGTTGAGCGGTATAGTGGTGCGGCGGCACTTAGACATCCAAATAAAAATCTTATCTGGCGTCGACAATACCTGTGTAAATAGGTAACTACCTAAATATATTTGGTCACCTCTACACAAAACGTATTTTATTTCACACATTTATTACGCTTTTGTTAATTTTAGAATTATTATTTTATGTAGGCACGTTAAATGAAGGGAGAAGCAGTAAAACACTCAAATGGTGTTTAGGAAAATAGGTAATGTGAAAAGCGGAAAACAAGCTCGAGTTCTACTTAAATTAAACAACTATAATTATTATCATATCATTAAATTAAAAACAAATTCGTTTTCCATTTGTAGAAATAGTAGCAATTAGGTTTTGGTATATTATACTTTAAACATTCATTTAACTAAAAACTAACTGCGACTACCGCTCTAGTGAATAAAGTGTACACCTACCACCTACGTAGAAGATTTTAATTATATTATGATTTTATTAATTAACGACTTAATAAGTATCTCACTACGCGCACACAAAATTTCAATTTCTCGTTCAACCATTTTAATACAAACTATCCGTCTTTTGAAGTTGTGATAAATAAGTAACTACCTATACCTATAGGTATACATACCTACTGCTCCATGCCGGCCTCATTCATCGCCTGTTTCAGACTTGTTGCCGCTGTAGTATTTTAAACGTCAGAACAGTTTTAATTATTCTTATAGGCTGTTTGCACAACTTATAGGTTAGGGTACTAATATAAAACAAAATAAATACCAACGAAATTATAACTATCATTGTTGTGCATACATATGTGTGACGAGGGAAAAAATAATTAAAAATATTTATGTAACCATACAGCTAAGGACTCAATTTAAGTTGTTTTCCTCAGACAGTCTTTATTTTAGGGAGTGATGATATACTATTATTTATCGTCATATGGTCACTGGCTACTGGCAAAATGTCTGTACATTTTCATCTGCAGATATCTGTTTTTTTCTCGATTTCTCAGAATCGGTTTTATGAAGAATGGTTTGTTTGTTTTTCACGTAAAATCAACAGTTTGAAAACAATAACAGGCAGGTAATCGAAAAATGTTAATAGGTAACTCAACTATCGACGTATTTCAGATACCGATACATCACGATAAAGATTGATGACTTGGTTGCTTCATTCTAACTTTTCGTATTTATTGCTATATAAATTAAATTATACACTAAGTATATACCTGCGTCTATACGTCGGACATATATGAGCCGTAATATACAATACTGAATACACCACTTTATAAACAAATAAATAGAAAATAAAAAAATATCCCTTTAAAATTTAAACGGTTCTTTAGGTAGGTATAGGTTACTGGAAAATGTTTAACTTTAAATAAGAACAAAGAACCCTATTATTTGACTATCGGCGGAATACCTATATATTGTTAACCTCTATAAAATATTTAATTTATCTAACCATTAAACTTTAATCAAAAAAGGAGAACTCGCTTCTGTTATGTAGTAGGTTTCGAGTAAACATGTACCTACCTATCTACCTCCTATTGATCACTGAAATGGATGTAAAGTTTGAATTCAGTGATCACAGATTATTGAATAGGTATGAAAAATTATTCTTAACTAAAGAGGCTGCAAGTGTATCAACGTAAATTTCTACGGGTACCTAGTTAATAGTTTATGTTTGTGTTATAGGTATTAATAATAATTTTGGTATTTTCTTTGTATTGGACTATTGGAGGTTTTAAATTTGTTTGACGATTGCTATGCTAAACCACCCAGATTTTAGTCCATTTAGGTTGGCAATTTGATATTGACATACAATATTTAACTGTATCAAAAAAAAAAAAAAAAAATATTTATTGTATAATTTTATTATTTTTATAACCTTCTAGTTATTAAAAGAAATTATCACAGCTCAACAATTTAGGTATATTGTTTTCATCAATAATTAGTCTTAATAATTACAAACTATAAACCAGGCAAAAAAGGTATTTTGCATCGAAATTATTGACAGTTGAATCAGAAATAGCAAGTATGGGCAAAGCAGATTTTGAACAGTTGATCACTTTATTTTCAATCCTCCAATCTAGGATAAATGCATCTAGGTTATTATTATTAATAAAATCAAGATCAGAAAAAAATGCTATACCTAATAATACACAATTATAATACCTAAATATAATTTTTTTTATTTAACATTGGATTTCCTTGAGATTTAAGAGATAAAGTTATCTCTAGGTGAATAATTATTATACCTATATTAAATGAAATATTGAAAAAAATTCAGTACCTAGATTAGCAAGTGAATTTTTGTGAATTTTTTTTCAAAATGTACGTTTTCACATGCTTAATATGATGGTATTTTCAAAAATAGTCGATAAAATTTTCCTTGGACGTTATAAAACCTTCAAAATCTTGGTTTTAAGTTTAAAATACCAAAAAAAAAAATTGTTTTGAATTTTTTGTAAATGCTGGTTTTTATTCATATTTAACATTTTGGTGAAATCAAAAATTATTTATCGCACTTAGTACTCACCCACTTCTTTTCTTATTATTAGTGAAGTAGGTAATTAAATGATAAAATAAGAAACCCCGACGGTGGGAGATACCCAAATTAGTGAACATAAAATTATAACTTTGAAACTAAGTCCGACCAATACATTTTAATTGCACCACAGTTTTTAACTCATTGAAATACATATGTTCGGTAATAAATTTCAAATATCACTTGGAAATAAGCTGCACTTCTGCCACAAAATAGTAGGTAGTTATACCTTATATCTTAAAAAATAATATTTTTGGGTGGGAGGGGGCAAATTATGTTGCCCCGGGTCACAAAATGTTCAAGTAGGTACGGCCCTGTTAATGGGGTTAAGAACTCCTAGAAATTCTTTGACTTTTTCAGTTACCATGATCTTGTGCATATATTATTACTTATTATACAACAAGATCATGTAATCATGTACATAGGTACACCTAAGCCGCAAGCAGTGGCGTGGCGACAAGATTTTATAGTAGGGGCGAATACAATTTTTTGGTACCCCCCCACGTCTTACAGATTTGTATATCCCCCCCCCACCATAATTTTATTACAAACCTCTAAAAAAGTTATTATTTTTATTTTTATTATTAACCAATTCTAAATAATTATAATAATAATAATAATAATAATAGTAAATAAGAATTCTAGAATAGTATACTGCAGTTGAATGACAAATGTCATAAAGGTAAATTAATATATTATTTTCCCTTAAATATCACCCACTAACATAAGCACCCACCCACCCCTGGGTTGTACTAGGGGCGGTTGCCCCAAAAAATCTACTTCGCCACGCCACTGGCCGCAAGACAAAAAAAATTAACCAAATGTCCAAAATGTAATATTGTAGTGTTAGTATTATTTTTTACTTATTTTGAATCAAACTTTAATTCTAAGGAATTGCTACCTATTTACTAAATATAATTAATAACAAATAGATTTTCATAAATCTCTAGATTAAGCATTTTGTCTTTTGAATGTTAACAGTTTTCAAATAAAAATAAGGTTTAAAGAACAGTTAAAAATCATCTTGATGTACAATTATATACCTATTTATTATTTTCTTCTTTAAAGCTTTAACATGCGTGGTTATTAGCGCTAACATACAATTTTATTTACTTATTATTTTCAATTAATGTTGTCTAAAATAAGTGGTATAAAATGTACAACTAACTTCTATAAGTTGTTATTGGATAGGTTCAAATATGGTTTAACAAACATATTGGTTATAAATACAACACAGAATGTCATTATATTTCATATTAAACATTAATATTTAAGGATAGCTGAATAATATGATAAAATTTGTCTTATTCAATAATCATTTATTACAAGTATAATAAGCATAAAAGGTATGCATCACAAATAATAAACTCTCAAACACATAGTATACAGTAACATACCAATAAGGACTATTATACATATTTTTTTCAGAAAAAAACTTAGCAAAGGACATTTTACAATTGATGATATGTACAATTCATACAACTAAATGTGAAGATACATTCATGATGCTTTAATTATTGATTTTCCAAAAATTCTTTTTCTAAAGCAGCACCCAACATATTCCATTCAGCATCGTTCATTTCATCAGGTGGGTCCACGCTATTTTCACTATTATTACCCCATTCTACGCCTAATTCATCTAAATTTTTACCTTGACGAAATTTTTCATTTAATGTTTCATTATCGTCTTCACTTCCATCACTATCCAATGAGCTGCGTCTACGCTTCTGTCCTCTGCTAGTACCTAAAGTAAAAACTATTACATTAACATTGAATACAAATGAATAAATTTAATTTTCTAAAAATTTTATACACACACCACCCATTGAGTATCCCAATTTAAAAATTGATTAACTTTATCTATCTAATATGGACATAGTTGGCAAATATAAAACAAATCATACATTTTTTTCACAATATGGATGTATTTAAATCTATACATTTATTATTATTTTGGAGAATTGTAAAACAATATATTTGAACATGATTATATTTAATACATTATTAATTATTAGAATTATTCATATACAGTAGTCTCTATAACTTGTTTCTCAAGGGGAATAAAAATAAATTCAACTAATATATTTTTTAAGTAATATACACCAAACATAAATTAAAACATTTCAAGGGGTAGGAAAAAATTAAGAGTTGTCAAGGTTTTTGAGTTATTGAGGTTTAAGTTACCAACATTTGACTGTACAACAGCTGATACCATTAAATGGAATCTGAATTAATAAATAAACCAAATTAAAATTAAAAATAATAATATTTAATAGGGTCAGGTATAGTATGTAAAAATAATCATGCATAATCTATTTTAATAAATATGTAATTCTAGAACATTTAAATACCAATAAATTGGTTTAAGCAATAAACACATCCATATCATCTAAAAAAATTTAAAACAATCTATTTATTTGATGTAAAATTATCTATATTTTAAACAAAAAATATTATTCAAGAGAGTTTACTCGTTTAGTGGCTAAAATGTGAGTCCATATCATACAATAATCATATAATTAAAATTGATATCCATAAAAAGAAAAAAACTACTAAATACATGAGGCAATTAATTATTTGATAGTTAAAATATGACCATTGAATTCAAAATTCAAATATATTGTTATTATTATATAATTAAGATAGGTTTCAATTTGATATTTTAAGTCTTATACCGTGAAAATCGATTCCAGAAAGTATAAGGATTTTTTGCAGGTAATTGTGGGGAGGATTCTACAGTAATACCAAAAATAATATTAACTTATATTTTATGAAACTCTTTATTATGATATACTACTTAAGCATACTGATAAGCTGGACTTTTAACTAAATATCATTTATCTAAATCTACACTATTTTCACTATTTATACCCCAATTCAAGACTAATCATCTATATTTTTACTTTTTCGGAATCGTTCAATTAATGTTTCACCTTCTATTTCTTTTTCTACTTCATCTTCATTATCTGTTGATTCTGATGAACTGTATTGACGTTTATTCCCTCTCCTAGAACCTGAAGCAAAAAGTATTATATTATTGTACACAAATGTATAAAATACAATCTTAATTCTATACATCATCAGAATTGTAATGAAATATGATGTAACGATGTAAGCAAAGGTAACATTTTAGAAAAATAATTTTCTTCTATAACCTACAGTTTCATGCAAAAAATATTCAATAACTTTTTCTCTGGGTGATGTGGTTTTAAAAAGATTCACAAACATTTTTCAATATCAGGTGTGTATAAAATGTGTTTTGATGAAATACAAGCAGCATTAGCTTAATCCATCCATATATAGTTTATCAGCTTTGATTTAATTAAGTTCATTGATTTCCTAAAAATGACCTTTCGCAGATGTATGTTTATATAAAGTATTGTTTCAACCATACAAGTCTAAACAATGAAATATAGTATTTTGAGTGCCGTTAAATGTAGTGCCATAGGTTGGCTATCTCTGATCTATACTATACTATACTCTATTCCACGAGAGAACAATTAAGTCCACCGACCAATTCTCGTCAGTGCTGCGCATCTCCCACAAACTTCCCAATGATCGCGTAATCACGTGGTTCTCTATGTGCCAAACAAATCATTAGTGATGTGCAAAAAGAGATTATTCTCTCGTGGAATAGAGTATAGACCCTAATTTAAACAATAAAACGCTTATTTTTTTCTTTTTGAGTATATCCATATCTTCAGTTTTATGTTGATGTTTTAGACGTATTGATTCCATACTAAGTAGATGAATGTTCATAACAGCAAAATGGTGAACATACAATCTGAGGATGGAACTACAATGAATCCAAAACATCATCATACAACTGAAAACATGGACATATCTCGAAAAGGAACAAATGATATTTATAATATAATATATAATATATAATATTTATATAATATTTATCCATAAAAATCTCAATAAAAACTTAACCGATTCATAATAAAACTCTTACCGTCTAAAGATGCTTCTGAGCTTGAATTACCATCTTTATTTATTTTTAACACATCAATTATATTAGGCACATCATCACCATCACAACTTTCTTCATCATCAGTCATGTCTTCTACTTCTCCTGCCATACGTTTAATGTCTTCATCAGAAAATGAAAGTAGTGGATTAAGAGTCTCCGCAAATTTTTGGTCTTGTTCTTTATTTACATGAGCAATATTTTGGTTATTGGCCATAAAATGTGGTGAGTGTTCTGGACTACTACAATGAGCTGGTGGATCTCGACTACTAGAACCACCACCACCTTCCGATCGGAGAGGAAATAATCTTTCCTCAACATGTTCCCAACGTTCTGCACAAAGCCATAACCATTCAGGTGTCACTGTTTTGATATCGGGGCGTTTACGGGCTGCACTAGCTTTAAGTGTGCCCTGACGAACAGCAACCAAATGCGTAGAGTCAGGTCTGATATTTTCTGTGACTTCTGCACCTAATAATCGAGCCACTTTATAAGCTCGACTTTCAGTCAGCGGTACAGGAGTAGGTACTAAGCCACTGAATACTAGCTTTTTACCAGCTAATATTTTTGAACGGTACATAGGTATGATACGCTTCATGTCAGGAACCTCGATATTATTTCCATACAACTCATATTTTTGATCATATTCTTTAAAGTATTCCTTATGTAAATTTTTCAAAATATCTTCCAAATACAATAAGTAATCATCTTCTTCTTCAACTTCTACTAGATCACTATTGTCTTTAATCGCCACATCATTTTTATTTTTGTCTTCATTATCTGTTGTTATATTTCCTGAATCATCGTCAGACAAAACTTCTCCATCTTCCATTTGTAGATCGCCTTTTATGTTATCTTTTTTTTTAATAGTTATACCTGTTTTAATACATATTTAATAAATTAGTATTTTTTAATTTTTTAAGCAAAAAAGATAAGTAGTAAGTAATAACTAATTGATGTAATACAATAAAAATGTATATATTTAAACTATTTTAGGTTAGCAAGTTACAAAAAAATTTTACCCTGAACTAAATGTGTAAAATCCACTCTAGTATCCTGTTGTGTGGAAATATCAACATTTTTTTGCAAATTTGGAGGAGCATTTATATCACCAGTGTGTTGAAAAAAATGATATGGCTTGACGTGTATCAAATTTAAAGCATAATCCCAGACATCTTCACGATCATCAATTATACACACCATATTATCACCACATGGAAACAATCCCCTAGAATAAACAATGTAATATACTTATAAATAATAAAATTAAACATCAAAAAAGTATAAAGCGATATACATAATATTATTATAATTATTAATTATTATTTAATACAGGTCATTTAGGAATATTTTTATTTCTAAATTTAAATAATATAAAACTTTATTTTACTGTTATTTCTTTACAAACTATATGATTATACCTATATCTACAGGTATTACAATCTGTCTCAAGCAAAAGAAAGGTACCAGTTCTATAGACTGAGCTCCACACCGCAGCCAGACCATTGAATCCACTCTAAGGCTAGGATTAGTGCTCGACCGACAGTCAGCATGTAGCGTCGGCGCCGACAGGTTAGCGTTGACGGACGGTCCTCATCAGCGCGATGCAGCTGTACGCTCGTATCAACTTTTCAGTGCTGCACTGTAGTTGTTCATATGCATCCTTTGATATATCTACGCTCGACTGACCGTCAATCGAGCACTAATTCTAGCCTAAGGGCAATCTTCATACATAAACTGACATGTGTTTACTCACTAATACGTTGCGCGTCGCTAGCAACTAGCTTGCGTGTACTGGGTAGTGGAGAGGAAAAGGAGATGAAGTGTGGGGAATATGCAACAATGACGGAATTTTGTGGAAATGCGGTACCTTTCTCTCTTGAAACAAACTATAGATTTAAAGTTGTTTTTTTTAAGACTTATTAGTAACCTGATGCCTGGTGGACATCATAATATTATATAAGTTATACAACAGTGAATATAAAATAATATTGTTGGTTTGTAAATCAATAATAAGTATTTTTATTTCTTTTGTTCTATCAACTGTATGTAATATTGAACATGTTTGGGGATCTTTGATTTATCAACATTGTAACGATTTAATTTAACAAAAAATATGTTAAGTATATGATGTGTTATGTAAAACTATTGAATATAAGTAATCTATTGTATGTAAGCGGTATCATTGATCAAATATACCAAGTATGGACACATTTTTTATTGCTTTTAATAAGTTTTTGTTTAGTTAACCAAGACTATTAATTTCAGAATTATCATAATATGGAACATACCTAAGGTGCGAACATAAATAGAACATAACTTACAAAAAAGCAATAAGATACCTAGCAATAAAAGAAAACTTAACATTAATTTAAGTCTAACACAATATTAACATTTCATGAGATAAACATACTTGAGATTTCCAGTTTTACTGTTTGGATTAAAACATTCATCACGTGATAATACTCTATGAGAAAACAATTTCCCCTTTGGATCCAGTATATGTGTTATTGTATGAGCATAGTTTCGAGCGCCAAATGTACATATGTGAAGTTCATATAATTCACTAATAGAGGACAAAAAGTTGTATGTTCCTGGCCTAAGTCTTGTGTGATACCAAGGTGAATTTGGTCCATATAGTTGAAAATGATGAATATCCTGTGTAAATATAGAAGGCATTAATATATGCAATTAATATAGAGCTACACAAATATATTAAAGTAAATACTTTGATATTATTGGGTATATTATCGTTTGTTGTGTGTATTAGTGTTTGATCTAAATCAACGAGTAACACCAGTTTTTTATCACCAAGCAATCGTTTTTCATCAGCTTTACCCAATAACAACGCACTCTAAAAATTAAATTAGTGAATTAAAACTTTCGTATTTTAGTTGGATGTATAAAATAGTAATGTACCTGTTCGCTGACTTTGAGGTCAGGTACACTGTGTATCATAGAAACAGATGCAGTTGGTTTAGATGCATTGTCAATTCTTAAATCGGCACCACAATCTGCACATAAATCACTGACTACAGTACTGTGGCTACAGCCAGGCTCCAACTCAAATACAGGATATCTAGAATATGCAAGAATAATATATAATAATTCATAATTGTTAAGTCTGTAGAAATTAAACAGGTACAATGTTACAAATTTATTCAATATCATTAGGTAGGTTCAATATCTTTAAAAGTACATAAACATTTAACCAAAATTAATTCTTACCCTGCGGGAACTTCTTGGCCTTCATGTATTAATATTTTCTTAACAACACCAACGTGATGTGTGCGAAAACTTTTCCGATCTTTGTCTCCGTCCTCTTGATAGAGTAGTACAACAACAGTACTGTTAACCAATGTACCTTCTTTTACTCGCCATTTTAAAAGTGTCGCTTTCTTATCTGTTGTTGGTAGTTTTACACAAATCTTTTCTTGACTCATCTCTATTAATTTGTCTCATTCAAATTCGATAATAATAACAATATATAAATATTAAATTGAAATATTTGAAGAGTATCAATTGAAAAATATTAAGGAAATTAAGATTCTTAATCTAAAAGACACAAGTTGTAGAACATTTACGTTTTATTGAGCATACAACAATTACATTTATATAAATATTGTGAGCTAAAAAATTAGAAACAAATTTTAACTGTTATGATAAGAAGTAAACAATTCAAAAGTTGATCGAAGTAGTAAAGAATACAGAAAAGATAACTACTGGTACAAGAAATTAGTAGTATCAATCCTGAGCTGACTCGTGATAAGTAATATATTTTCAAAATGGCTTACAACCATATTTTGATACGCATCAAAACACTGAAACACATGCAATGAAAATAAAACGTAAAAACGTTAAGCACCGGCCGATCAGTTCGGTTTGTACGATACGTCTAGCCGAATAGCTTATATTATATGATAAAAATAATGTAAACTTGATTTCAGATTTGTTTTGAAATGTTGAGTCTGATTATTGGTTATTTATTTACTAATCACTAATTAGTAATTTGTAATTATTATTATTTCAACCGTCTGGCTTTATCACAGAATTATTCATAGTTCATACTACCTATATTTATCATTTTTTTGATGAGGACGTAACACTGTCCAGCATTTGTTATCTCGGTCTTACAAGTGCGTAACATATCAAATTTAAGCTCACCAGATCACGTGTAGCTTCGTTAGTTCATAAATTATAGTGAATTGACCTATTATGAAATATGAAATTAAAACATTATCTGAGTTTGTATAAGGGTTTTTTACGACAGTTCAATTTTTTTAGCAAGTTTTCGTGTATTTTATAGCTTTAAATAAATTTAAAATGCTGAGTTACGACTTACGAGCATTAAAAACTGAATTATAAAAAATCCACATGTAAAAGATAATGTACCAAAATGTTGTCTTAATAATTTTTATATTATGGTCACTTGTCATTCAATTATATAAAAAATGTCGTAAATTACAAATATTTATACTTAATATCATACCAGTATAAAACATACTAGGAGGATTCAAGCCCCCCTCCCAAAAAAAAAATTTGTATCTACAGTATATTAACATAGTAGGTATCTAAATAAATAAGTTAATTGGGGAAGGAGCCTTAGTCTCCCTACAATTATTTCCTGACATGATCTGGTCAGTAGAATAAATATTATAAATTTTTAATTGATTTTCTAGCTTCATAGGAAGACATGGCGAGGAGGCTTAGTCCCCCCTTAAACTTGCATGGATTTCAGCCTATGTTGGCCCCTGATTTTCATGAATTTTGTCAACATTTTAGTTTTTTATATGCTTAAAACAAAATACGCCCTTGTAACGTAAAATCTTTAATATTTTTTAATTTTTATTATGTATAAGTGGTATAACATTTCATAAAAAACATTATAATATTTAGTCTTTAAAAAAATCAGAAAGATGTATCAGAACCAAAATTCGTACAAAAGTTACGAGAACAATTTTGAGTTACTTAACTTAGTGTTGTTAGGATGATACAGAACATGATAGTATATACTATATTATGGTCTAATATCTAAGGCAGCTAATGAGACAATATATATATATATAAAATAATTTTTGAGGGTTCAATATTTTTTTAATATGGATACTGGACACTTATCAGTTATCAATTTTACTATAATAACTCATCCTACTTTTAAAAATTCTAAAAAAACTCACCTCCCACCATTTATGGCGTTGCATATAAGTATACAAATTACGCTGACCGCCGCCGTCCCCCAATAGATATTAAAGATATCTTCATGACTAAAGAAATAGACATATATATAAAAATACATTTATAAATAAATAAAAATAATAATTTATAAATTATATCCACGGACATATATAATTTATAATATCCATTATATCCATCATGATCTTATAATATCTATGATTATATCTCAGTCCGCGATTATAATATCTTCACAGGAATCTATGGTGTTGGCGTCCTCACGGCTCACTCCACGATCATCGCTATCGATCGCGGCCATAAATAAGTAGATAGACAGTCACGCTAGCGATACAAGCGGACAAACGATGGTTAAATGTCATCAGTGTTTTGTTCATTTGTTGTGTTTCATCCGTTACGTTGATTCAAACAACGGTTGATAAGTACTATCTACAACCGTCATTTAAACACAAATACAAACAATAAATAATAATCAACATTCAGCATTCAAGCATTGCAAATTTGAAATTTAATTTTTCAAAACAGAACCACTTTAGCACAGTATACAATAATTAACAATAATCTGTGCAATAAAGTGCCTCATATAAATACTGACTAATGATGGAAATTGACGAAGACTTAAGTGCTATAGAAATAGAAACAGATCCAAGTAAGTATACATCTATTAGACTGACACTAAAATATATTATATGTCATTATATATTAATGCTGTATGTTTATAATATTAACTGGCGCTCTGTTATTTTTTTTTTTTACATTCAGTAAAAATATTGCAAACATGCCTACAAAAATCACATCATATTTAACATTTAACACCACAGCGTAATTCGAACAGTTTGGACGTACAGTATTTAGCTATGGGGTTCTGCAGTCATCCAATATCCAAACGCTTCAGGTGTTTCAACCCATCTGCCTCTGATTATATACTAATATCTTCTTCTTGGTATTTCACAAACAATAATCTTCACAAAGACCTAAAATTTCCTATCCATAATCTACTATCAAAATTAAATTACTTTAAATTTCATACAAACTTAAACTTTCAGTAACCCATTGATCAAACAACCATCCTCCATCTCACCTCCAAGTATTGTGTGTAGAAGACTAAAAAAACAATGGCCTAGAGATCTACTAAGAAAAAAAAAACAATAATACCCAACAAGTTTGGTTGGGTGTCACTGCTGAGTGGCTCTACATAAACTTCTATCAATTACCATTTATCAAATTTAATTCTTACACTAATAATTTTTTTGTACTGGGTAGATTGTAAATAATTTTTTAATAAAAAAAACGCAAAAGAATTTTTAAAAAACAACAACACAACATATTTTTTTAGACATTTAACTTAAAAATTATGTATAAATTAAATATCTATTGTCTCATGTATACTTTTTTTTTTAGTTTTGCCAGAAGTATCTTCGGAGTCATTTGGCGATATATCCTGTATAACTAATGGTTAGTTTCATTTGTGTACAATTTACATACTATATAATTTGCGGGTAAAGGTATAAAAATTAATCAAATTTGTATCTATGTTTAGACATTTCACCATTTTATTATAATAAGTAACCTTTTCTCAATATGTCATAATTCAATGATATTTTGAAGAATTACAAATTCATAAATAACAAAACAAACATATAAATTAATCAACTACAATAAATAAGTTGTCATTTAATTCAATATGAAATATTTTACCTTAGTATTTTATTTTATTATTAATTATGAATTATCCTACAGTGAGTAAGAGAGTTGGTTAATTTTAATATAGGTAATTACTATTTTTTTTTTTGTAGTAGGTACCTACTTAAGATCTAAGAACACTTTTCAAAAGCCAAACTACATTGAAATTTCCCCTCTAAATAACGGAACTTTTTTGTTCAAAAAATTACAAACAGAACCCTCTAGATAGCGGGCAAAATTTCTTTGACCAATAGTGTCCGGTACTTAGATGTTTCACGGTATAATTTAAACCCAATGTATTAGAACAATCATTGTTATTTTTATCACCTTGTCATCTAACCTAAATCTCTAGCTATAATTAACATGGTATTACATTTGATTATATGTACAGATATGTTTGTACAATGTAATCAATGATCAAATGTTTAATGGACTTTTCATATCCGTCTCAGTATCTGGTTTATATTTGCTGGTATACTTATGTATGGGGCAACTTCTGTATCTTTGCAGCAGTCAGTTAAATGTTTAATAGTCATTATCATCCTACATAGCTGACATACAGACTTGCATCAAATTTTTGTGCGAAAGATTTATGTCCTATTTAGAGTGCTTAATACTTATTCACTTTTTATTCCACCCCATTTTTTTCTTTTATAGACGTTTTTAAATCAAGTTCTTTAGTTCCTACAAATGATAACCATTTATAATTTTTTTTTGCTAAAACAATGTGTTAACAAATAAATAATAACTTATAACCATATATTAATTTAGATATCTATTAAGTTATATTTTTTTTTTATAATTTTATAATTTTAATAATACATATTAATACATAATATTATATGTTTATTGTTTTAGATGATAATGAAAAAGAAAATATCGAAGACCCACATTCAATTGAAACCGACGAATCTGATCAGGAAGATGGTAAGTATTACCTACTATTTTCATTTAAAATTTCTTATACAGCAAAGCTAAAGTAATAATGAAATATGTTTTCAATTTGTTACAATGTTCTTTGTAGGCTTGTAGTAACGTCTAATGTATAGCTTGTATTTTTAGGAACATTTTAACATGTTAAAATCTGATATAAACCATGCTATTCTACCATAGATATTAAACTAGTAAATGGAGTATCCAGATATGACACCAGCATGTGGTGAGGTCTCATGTTAGAGAGGTCGTAGCTATATATACAAATATGGTAACAATTATTGTAAAATCGAAAAGTGTACGTTGTATATCAAGATCAGCTCACTCATGTCAGATCCTTGAAACTACAGTAATGCTCTGTCTAGTAGTATAATGTCTATATTATACCTCCATTTCAATATAATTGAATATTACCCCACTATTTCCTCAGTATATAGTTCATTCAGCTATTCTAATAAAATAACTGACAAATATTTATCATTGTATATGCAGTTCCTTGGTAAATTGTTCTCATTTGAAGGTGACTACAAATCTAAACATCAACTTTAGGGTGGTTCCAGAATAACCAACACCAGAGGTCGCCAACTTACGACTCCCTGTTTAACAATAACTTAATGTTTCCCTCAAGCAATAACATATTAAGGGGGACTCAGTGGAGCAATTTTTCCTGGGTACCAAATTCTGAATTTTATAAAGAAGTTGAAGTCCAAACTATCTAATACTAAAGTCAACATCAAATAAACTGGCGATCGATAACTCTGCTTTTCCGTGAAGTATTCTACAGGTGTCTGCACCATAAATTTATTTTGCGTGCTTTTTATAAACAGCTACACCTACACCTATAAGAATGCTGTGAATTGTGTGTGAATGTTACTTAAAATATACCGGTAATGATTGTGGAAAAGGGCGCTATTTCATTGTGTATCTAGGGCTCCAAATTCCGAAACATACTGACCATTATTCAATTAAAACCACAAATAGATAAAAATTTATTTACATAGATCAACCCATACAATTTTTTTTCTGCGTCTCGGTTGTAGCCTTCTACTCCATAATGACAATGTCACAACAAATAGTAACTGGATACTACCTTCAAACATAAAAACTAAAATAAAATCACTCAAAATTAGACTTCACCAACAACTTCAACACCTTCTAAAATCAAATATTCTACTGAATACCAAATGTATTTACTGTAAGCAAATAATCTGTCCAATAACCTTATTAATATATTTACATTAATTGTGTGATAGCTAAATATAAGACAGTAATAATATAGTCCTTGACCCTTGTCTCCTTTTTTCTTACTGGAATGAGTAATTGACAAAATTATCAATTAACAGAAAATGATATCAAAAATTGTCGCTAGGGAATATAGGGAATAAGAAAACTATGAACATATTAATTGTTGTCACCAAGCGAGAAAAATAGTTCTAAAATAGATTTTTCAATCAATAATTTGACTATTTATCATTTATCAAAACAATATTGTCTTTTTACTAGAAATGTTTAGTAAAAGACAAAATGTGGACATAAATTATTAATGTTTAATTCTGAGATTTTCTTATTTTATTTGCATTATAGTTACAATGTCAGGATCAGAGTCAGGAATAGTTGAAGATTTCACTTTTGATCCAACTGCTTTTATAGAAATATCTGATATACTAGGTAAGGCTTAAAAAAATATGAATATTCACTAAAATTAAATTTTAGTTAACAGACATACCAATTGATTTTAAATGTATTATAAGTGTTTGCTAAAAAAAGATTACACCATGTATGTGCATTGTATTGTTTTTTATTAATGGTATATTTTAATCTAGATCTTGTTGGTAAAAATTGGTCAATATTCCGTGTATCTCCATTATGGAATTTGAATTTTGATGCAAACTATTTAAATTTGTTATCCAAAAAGTTGAAGAAATTTTTAATAAATCGTCTATCTAACAACATGAAAAACCGAAAAAATTCTTTCTCAGATATCTCTGTGGAAATTGAAGCAAAAGAAGCAAATCAGGAATGTATTGCATTAAAGGTAATAAAATAAAATTCTAAGTTTCACAGTATTGAATTATTTAAATTATATTAAATTTATTTATTATAGGTATATTGTATTATCTGGTATAGTTACATGAAATAATAATATTAACTCAATAAATGAAGACTACTTTGAAACTTAAAATATAGGTATTTAACATAATATTAAAGTTGAATGAGTACTGTTCTAGTTTACTATTTAATGAGTATGCATTATAGATATATTATGCTGAATAAAAAAAATTTACCTTTTTATGTTATTGTTTGTTTCTATAAATCTAAATAGTATAACATTATAATAGAATTTTCATACAGTTATTACAATTTTTGGTATTACTGTTCTAAAATATTTTAGAATGTATTTTATTTAAATTCTAACCACTGTTTATTCTTATGAGCTGCTAGTAGATAAACAGAAATTTCAAAATGTAAAACAAATCATTGTATGAAATAAATTATGTGAAAAATAAGTTGATTAATTGATTGACAGCATATTTATTCTTCTAAAATAACAATTATAAAATTATAAAATATCATCCAGTTCATTACAGCCGTGAACCTCCAAAACAAAATATAATTAACTCTTAGTCATAGTCTTAGTCTTAGAATTAGTATTTTCACAAATTTGTATTAATTAATTAATTTCATTTTAAGCCCAATGGCCCATGCTGCCGAGGGTATATAATATATATATAATAAAAAAAATAATAAAAAATTATAAAATAATCATGTGGAAATATCTTAAATTCTTAAATAATCAATTATAAAACACCTATAATCTTAGTACAGTCAACTCTCTCTATAACAGTTTAAATTATTGATTCCTTAAAAATGTAATGCTTTGTGGTCCTTCTGATATAACAAAGATTTTTGCAAAAGCTCTTGCAATGTAACACATTTTTACAGTTTTAGAGCTTGCTATTGCTGTTGTATTTGTTTATATGTATTTAAAAATTATTAAATCAAAACAAATACCTATGTATTTGTAGTGTGTTGATTTAATACGTTTTAATAAATCTCGTTATAACAATTTTTCTTTAGTTATGCTAATAATATAACAATCTAAACTTTTTTCTCAGTCCCTTAAAATTCAATAGATCGAGAGTTGATTATATTAAATTTTTTCCAAAAATTATAAAAAAAATCACAATAAATATTTACTTAATTTAATAATTAATCTTTACCTACTACCTACATGAACTAATTTTATCTTACTATAATATATTATAATTTTTTTTTACAGATTTATGTTACTAACAATGATACTAATTCAACACTTTATACTGGTTTGCTATTAAAATCACCAAATTATAATCAAAATTATGATAAAAATAGTCTATCTGATATGCCTATATTAATGGTACAAGGAAATAAATCATTCTCAATAGCCATACATAATTGGCTAACTGAACATTTTGATTGTGTTATTCGGCCATATGAATTTGCTTTGTATCAGTTTCTGTGGCTTATTGCTATATCAATGTGTGATGCAGGACAATTATACAATGAAACTGTTTTATACCACTACCTCTATAAATGTGAATCATCAAAGGGTCAAATGGATGTAAAATGTTATGCTGAATCAGAGTTTCTTCGATCAGTTCTAGCCAAGTTAGTATTCAGAAAATATTATTTTATTATACAACTATCCAAATATAAATTATACTAGACTATATTCTTATAAAAGAAATTATTTTCTTTTGACCATGTGGCTAAAATTTGATTCACATTGCAAAACAATTTTTATATCAATCTAATTTTTTTTAGATACTGAACAGAATAATGAATTTAATTATTTTACCGTGATGAGTATTTTTGATTTTTGGCTAATAAATCTAGATGCCTTAACATTTATTTGTTTTTTAATTGTAATTTAGAAATGAATAATTTCAGATTTTAAATTTTTACTAAATACTAAATAGGTATTTGCAAAATCTAGTAGCATTTTTTAATCATTTTAGAATTATGGTTTTTTTTACAAATGTCCTGGGTCCTTGTTATTTTATCAAAGAAATTTCATAATTTCAAAAACAAAATATATTTTTAATATAAATTTAAATTACAAAACAATTGTTATTGTTATAATTTTTACTTATTTTTACTTTATTAAATTACAACATATATTTTTATTTTTGTTCTTAAGCTGAACATTTTTGGAGTACTAATATATTGAAAAATTGAAATCAAACTTTTGACAAATAATTTATGAGTTATTACTTATTACCCATACAGTTCATCTTGGCACTCCACAATCGACGTGGTTTAAAAAAAACTGTCATAATCCTACTCTCTATCTTGTTCTGGGCGCACATCAAAACAATGCAGTTTCAATACAAAATGTGCTGCAGGTTATGTAGTGGGCCGTGGCAGTTATTTTTTTCACTGTATTGCTATGTGCCCGGCCAAGGGATTATGATATTTTCTTTAATATAATATAGTTTTTGCAAGAAGTCGTGAATGTTTATTTTATGAATTGACTGCATTATGTAAAATTGGGATGGGTATTTAATGATAGTCTCTTTTATAATCAATGAATAATTTTTATACTTTTATAAATTGGATTTGGGGATTAGCCATCCCTTTTAACACTGGAACGGTTAGTAGGTGGGTACTCATTTTAAATAGTCACTTAATAGAAAAAAATTTCACGCTTCCACCTGTTTTCTTTAAATTGTAACGGTTGCCGAGTGCTTAGATGATCTTGATGGGTTATATTAGTATTTAAAGTTTTGACGAGCAGTGTGAAGTGGTACAGGGGTACGCCACAAAAAAATTGTCTACTACTTCTCTTATCTATACTCTAAATAAGTTAATTAGTTGTAATTTATTAACTACTTGTTTGTCCGAAGTTAATATTTATTCATCAAACTAATCAAGAAAATATTCTGCTTCAAAATGCATACGATAAAATAGAGGCTGATATACTGCTTCTGCTTAAAATTGTTTTTCGTCTATTCATTATTGAATTTAAATTGAGCACATTCACATCACTGTAGTAGTGACTTACTCAATGTACTCTTAAAATCTACCACACAGTAGATCATGTTTCTTTTATTTTTATCTTGTACTAAAACATTTTACATAATTCACAGACTTTCCATGAATCGGTCATCTTCTGAAGCTACTTCGTTTCATTATTCAGATTTAATTAAAGTTCAATCCGATATAGAAGACCATTTTAAAATTACAAGTGGAATAAATGTATCAAAATTAAAATTAAAAGCATTCGAAGCGCCTAAAGTTGCTTCAATTAATGTTTCTGGAAAAGTGAGTTATTTTATTTAATAAATAAAATGTTTGTTAAAATTATAATTTTTTGTTTTAGATACATGTTTGGTCATCCACACTTATTGATTTAATGTTAAAATATCTTATGGAACTGCAAGACAATAAATGTATGCCTTAAAAAATTAATTTAAAAAGTATGCAATATTTACATTTGTTATAAATGGTTTTCGAGCATACTAAATTGTAAATACTAATACTTTTTATTATTATTTTATTATCTGATAGAATTAAAGTTATGTTTTTATATAAATCAAAAACTGTATTTTTCAATTTTTACTAAACAATTAGCCAATTTTTTTTTACTCTTTGAAACAAGATAATTACATACTATAGGTATGCCCACTATACCATCAATGGACTGGCCGCTTTGTAACACATTGATCAAGTCATAACAAAAGTTAACTAGACCTGATTTTTACTAATACACAATCTATTTCATATATATTTCTATGGTTTTCACTTTAGTATGTGCGTTATAATAATTTTATAACAAATAAAAACTACTTTCGTTCTACTCTAACTGATGACAGAATAACTTTCAGCAACGTTTACAACATAATAATTGATTTCAAATGTATATTTGGCACTCAATAGTGCGCATAAATCCTAAGCCCACCAATAATTGGCATTGTAATGCAGTTACCAGTCGAGAGGATGTCATGCATGTGTTGTCTCCTTACTAACATTAAATTTGAGTTCAGCAGAACCAATTCTTTGTTGTCTGCTTAAATACTAGAATGAATATCAAAATTAAAGGTAAGAACATTTAATCTGTGAGCATTTTGAATTTGTGATATTTCACACACATAGCTTGCTAAAAATATTAAAATATTAATTATTTTGTATAAGCTAATATACAATTGGTTCTGTTGAATTCAAATTTTTGTTTATGCTTTTGTAAGACAGAGACTACATACATGGGTAGCGTCTATTAACCTTCAGTTGCATACTTTATTACATAAAAAATGAGTTACAAGATGTGTTGGGTATATTCAGTTAAATACATCGAGTATCAAACATTAAAACACTAGCATTATTTATTTGAAAACCAAATTTTAACAAATGAAATTGAATAGCATATAAACAAGGGAATAAGTATTTCATGAGTATCTTAATAGCTATTTTAATTACCTTAAAAATAGTTTTTCAAAATTTAATAGAGATTAAATATATATTGTGACTAACTTGTACATCAATCAAATTAATATAATGAGGCATATTAAATTATAAGATCTAAGGGCATTGAATGATTAACAATACATTATTCAGTATTTACACAGTGTTTATAAAATCATTAATTTATAAACATAAACAATTAAAACCATAGTGATGATTATGCGTTCAGTATCAAAAGTTAAATTAAAGTAAATACAATGTGTAATTATAACCATATTATAAAAAATTAATTTTCATTATTTAAATTTCAATGGCAACATAAAAAAAATCAATTTTCCATGTTAAGTTGATTATTTGAGTTTAAAAAGATAGTTATTATTAGTAAAATACATTAAGTGTACACTTTCAAACTTTGAATACTGATCGCGTGTTTAAGATAATATAAATATAGTAAAACAGTTATATTCTAACAAACAAAACTTTTAAGAATAAATAAATTAAGTTCCTAACCTAAGGGTAAACATAAAAATTAAATAAGGTAATTGTAATATAGAACTATAGAAGTAAAGTGTATAAGAATATTTTTTTTAATCATTTATGGGTTATACATTTATGACTTAAAATCGTTTACAACCAATATCATTATATAAGTACCAATATGTAATATAATTATATAAATAGATATATTCGCAACACTAATTTCAATGATATAGAGCTTGGTCTATTAATAAATATTGAATACAATTCACTCAAAAAAAAGAAGTATAACCCACATGGAAAGCAATAATATCAAAATTGCAAATTTAATATTATTTAGTTGACCTTCAAAACTAGTTAACAACAACCATTGCCATTGGATCGATTATTTCCACCTGGTATACTGTTGTTACCGGTTGAATGTTGTGGTCCAATTTTAATACCATTTGCCTAAAAATAAATAGAATGAGACAGTATAAATTGAGTTTATTTCCAAATAACTCAATTAAAATAGGGATTAAAGTAAAACCGACCTCGTTATTGATATCAAATACTCCCTCTTGAATTTTTTCGTATATTTCTTTAGCAGTGTTTATGAAGGCTTCTTCTACATTGTCAGAAGTTTTAGCAGATGTTTCCATAAATACTAATCCATGTTCTCGAGCAAATGCTTCACCTTCTTCTTTCTTGACTTCTCGTTTCGCTTCCAAGTCACTAAGCAGATAAGTCAATTAACCCAAACCAACTAAAATTTGTAAGATTAAAATATTACCTTTTGTTGCCAATTAGCATAATGACCATGTTGGAATTGGAATGTTGTCTAGCATCTTCCAACCACGTTGTCAAATGATTGAAAGTGTCTCGCCTAGTGATGTCATACACCAATAATGCACCAGCTGCTCCACGATAATAAGATCGTGTGATGGATCGGAAAGCTTCTTGGCCAGCAGTGTCCCATATTTGCAACTTGATGGGTTTGGTCTCAATGGCAACCAAACGTGCACCAAATTCGACGCCTGGAATTAGTTCACGTTAAAAAACTATGATTATCATTATAATTCATAAAAATGTATGTAACCAATGGTCAAGTCGTGGACAGGCTGGAATCTCTTGTCAGTGAACTGCAACAGGAGACACGATTTGCCCACTCCTGTAACATATGCCAGTTTACGATTATACATGGCTGAAGGGTTAGTCTTAGCAATCAGCAAATATACACTAACCTGTGTCTCCGATTATGATGTATTTAAACAAGTAAGCGTAAGACATGGTGATGCGTAGTGGCAATAGACTATCAAGAAACCGTGAGCTGCAAACACTGAACTACCTGGAGACACTTATGATCGAAATAAAAATTAAGACGACGACGACGACGATATTATATACACAATAAAACAACAAAGGTATTAGGAATCGCGGAAGACTATTGCAAGTGTGTGTTTGTGTAAGATAATATTTGTAAAACGTAATTGATGTTGATCACAAAGCCATACGATTCATTTTATACTGTTGTGAGTAAATGTAACGAACACGCACAATAATAATAATAATAATGATAATAATATTCACTATAGGTAAAGTACCTTGTACCTCTCTCACTATATTATAATCTCTACGCAGTCGGTAGTCGCCTGTCACCACACTGACTGTAACTTTTCTGTTTTCGTAATAAATTGCGTCTTTATCACGACATATGATTCAGAGAATGAGTGAGCGAACAAGAAGGCCAATATTATTGAATAATAAAATATACGTACATATATATATATCAAATATGTTTTCGTCTTCCGTGATATGATAAAGGTATTGAATAAAATGGTCCGCGTCGGTTGGTCGGCAGTACTCGGTAGGGGAAGGAATCGCTCGTCGTACGAATACCATTCGGACGTCATCATAACTCCCTCCCGTCCGCCATAACACACGTGATACTACCGTGGTAGTAGTTGTACTTCTGACCTAGGTGCTGTCGCCTGTCACGTCGTCGTCGAGCTTCCCGGGCAGGCGACCAGTGCTGCGTGACATATTATCGTCGCGGGGCACCGGCGTTGCGTACTTGCGCTAGCACTGGATAGTAAAGTTGACACGATGACGATTGTCGATAATAATAATATATTCACGTAGACGTACTCTCTGAGGGAGCACATTAACGGTGCCGCCCTCCCGATAATAATAATATTATTTAAATTTACTTTACACGCGATAACGATAAAAGGTGAATTATTCTGGAATAGTAAAATCACTAATCAGTGACTCAGACCACTCCACTCTCCAACGACCATTGGTCTTTTAGATTTTGGGCACTGAAACGGTGAATCGGTATTAACTATTAACTAGCCAGCAGTCAGTGCTGTAGAAGTGTAGACGACGGCGGCCGGGTGACTTGTTGCTGTGTGTCGTGCGCGTTGTGCGTACTGCGTTCCGATTTTCGAGGTAAGAACTAAGAAGTGCCGAGTGACAAGTCGATCTGTATTTTTATTATTACTTTGATTTTGATTTTTTTTCCATTATTTTTCTATCTATTTCTATTGTACATTCCGGATAGTGTCGTCGTACCAGAGTCGTAAAATATAAATTCAATCGTTTTTTTTTTGTTTTCGAAGAGGTTGTCTGTTGTAAAATATATATTCCAACGCGCAATAAACACCTATATTATAAATTATACATAAGTAAGTCCTCACTGTCGTATTTGTATAACTCATAATTATGACAGTAACATAATATTATTATCTTAATGTAATTACGCAAAGTACAATCTAAAATTGTTCACTATACTAATATCGATTAATATACTGTATTATTACGCCCACTCGCAACAGGTACATCATATATGGTGAGATTAAATGTTTCTTGGGTGATGTCATATTCTTCGGCCTGTTTTTTGTGCGGAATTTCGATGCCCGTCTTGCGAAAATGTCAAAAATTGTTTTACAAGTCTCACCAGTCCTATGTAGTATTGAATGTCCGAGTTTTATTTATAAATTACGGGCGGGGTGCCAAAAAAAAAAAAAAAAATTAAAATAAATCCAATAAAAAACCGATGGTTTCTGTGTATTATGATCTATTGTATATTTGTATGACAAGAATAATGATAACCTTAATGACTTAATAATTTTGTCATTGACATGGTAGAGCATAAGTGGTAAATTTATTTAGTGCCTCAATTGAGATTTGAGATCATGAGTCATGACTCATGGAGTATGTCGTTGGTGTAGACTGTAGAATTGCCATGACAACAATAATAACAATTATTTTGAAGTTTATAAATTACTAGCTGTCGTTGCACGTGTATTATGTAACTATATAGTTTTAGTTTGCATGTACTCAATACATATTTTATTAGTTTAGTGTGTCTATAATAACTGTCTGTACTAAGAAAACCTTTTTTTTCCAGAATATTTTTACTTGAAAATCGTAAGTCTCAAAAAATTAAAATGTATACCAATCCAAATGCAGCACCAGCACCACCAGGTATGATATTTTAATAAGAAAAAATATTTATAATTTTAATAAAAATAAAAAACCAATTTAATAATTATAAATATTATTATTTTTAAATATTTTAAATTTAAATCAATCTTATTTTAACTCTATTTAATATTTACTTAAGATTACTTTATTAATTAAAAAAAAAAAAACTAGAAGTCCATCTTATTTCTTAGGGTTTTCTCAATATCATTCACCTCAAAATCAATATCCACCAGCTGGTAACCAAAACCAATATCCACCAGCTGGTAACCAAAACCAATATCCACCAGCCGGTAATCAAAATCAATATCCACCAATCGGTAATCAAAATCAGTATCCGCCAATTGCTAATCAAAGTCAACCATATCAACATGATCAATATAATATGTATCAACATCAACAACCAATGCCAGCACAACAAAATCAGGGATATTCTGTAATTCAAAATCCAAACTACCCACCTCCATATTCACAGCCGGGTTATGGACAAGTTATTCAGCATCAACCCAGTGCATATCAACCGTCTCCTCAAGTGGTAGCTGGTAAGTTCATTAATTCATTAACTTAAAAAAAAACTTATAAAAGTAATGTACCTATATATCCATTCATTCTCTAATAAAAAATATTTTTAATCACAATATAAACCAATTATTCATTATTTTTAAATTTAAATCTTATAATTTAACAGATGGTTGGATGCCTATTCCTCGAGCTATACCTCAAAACTGTCCAAATGGCCTTCAGTATCTTTCGACAATTGATCAATTACTTGTTAAACAACAAGTGGAAGTTCTAGAAGGTAAAAATTAAAAAATTCTATTAGCGCTGTTGTGTGCGTAATCTCAAAGGCTCCAAAAGCCATAAGCTTTTGAGACAAATCAAACAAGTACCAAATTGAACTGAAAAATAACGTTTATTTAGCAGAAAATATGATAAGTGTATAATAGCGTGTGCGCGTGTGATGGAAAGTTGCTCTAGTCTCCGTAGCTATGATACATCTGCCCAGGCTGCACCTCGAGCTCCCTTATAAGTGGTGGCGGTTCCTTGGATGTAGTGGCATGTGCAGCTTGTATGTGTAGTGTGTTTTTCGGTTGTTGTTGTCAATTCCTAGAAAAGCGGCTCGTGTTCATGATTTCTAATTGTGTACCTGCCCAGTGATTTATTACATAGGTAGATGCAATTCCGTTTTAGTACATTAGTTTTTCCGCTGGCAGTATTTTATGTTGGGACAGATTAATACATTCGTACGCTATTTCATAAGGACTGTGATTTTGGTAATACTTTATACATTGTGAAAGGTCATTGTGTTCTATACTATATTATTACAATATTACATGTTATCTATTACATATATTATTATAATATGACATGTTACATGTTAGTTATATATGTGGAGATTCCAAGGCCCACAACAGTGCCTGCAAAATGTTTGGAGTTCATACATAAAGCAGTTCACTTGAATATGAACTGCTAAGAAATGATGGGACCACGAATCCAAACAATTTTTCCTTATCCGTTTAAATAATAGCATATTGTCTAGAAATTGATTTGATTTGGTCAGTGTAAAATCATTCTGTATCAGGATAGTAATCAATTATATATAGACATTTGTTGGTCTAAACTGGTGTAAAATTGTTCTCATATTATCCCTCACTGGTACAATAAACCATGTCAATGATATGATACAAATATCCTGGGGCTTTTTTTCATATTGGTTTGAGCAAACATATTTCTGGTAGATCTACTTTTCTTTAATAGACTATTGTATTTTCATAAAATTAATACATTACTATCAAATCTACACGATGTATGAATATGTTGCTTTTATATTTTATACTAATTCTAGTTGTTTATAATATGTTATTATAGCCTTATTAGGGTTTGAGACCAATAACAAGTATACAATTAAAAATAATGCTGGTCAAAAAATATTTTATGCTGTGGAAGATAATGATTGTTGTACACGAAATTGCTGTGGGCCAATACGGCCATTTGAAATGAAAATCTTGGATAACTATAAAAATGAAGTTATCCATTTATCAAGACCTTTAGCATGTCAATCTTGCTTTTTTCCTTGTTGCTTACAGGTATAATAATATGTTTTAATAAAATAATTTCTGGAATTATTTAGTTATTAAGTTCCACACGGAGACAGCAAAATAACAAAACACTACTTCTCATGTTTTGTATGAATTTAAATAGTCCCTTTTGTGATGAAAAAGTTGATATTTTGTTTTGTATCATCATTTTAGTGTAGGTAGTAACAATGGAAATTAGGAATAAGGACGTATACAACTATGTTTAATGGACAAATAACTGACAAAAACCATTTAGCTACAAGCTGAGCTTTAATTACTGAGAGAATTTTTTAAGGTATAAACTTTTAACTCACTAAATATGCGGAATAAAGTTCAATTTTCATTTTTGTAACAAATGCAGTATTTAAAAAAAAAATGTATTGTATAATTATTCATTTTTTAAGTATTCATTTATGCTTTATATATGTGCACACTATCTATGAAATCAAGAGTTAAGAAAACCCCAATGGAATAAATGCAAAATGTGTATAATCTGAAATAAATATGCTGAATAGTTCATACCTAATAATAATAACAATAATAGTTAAAATAAAAATTCCAAGACTTTTTTTTAAATAGGCAGCAAAAAATTGGTCCAAATACAGTTTCATCTAAATTTGTTAACCTACATTTGTAAGATCAAAGTAATTTAGGTTTGTTATGCACCTAAGTCCAAAGTGAATTCAAGAATTAATTTCTTTTAAAATGTAATTTATAGTCCAATTTATATTTTACATTCTGATTAAACACATTACCCATTTATATTTTTTTTCTTCAATATTTGTGTTTCACTTTACTTAATCTGACATCACTTTTAGGAATAGTACAATAATTAATTGTTCTCCGATTTTAAACTTTTCCGGTAGAAAATTAGATCTACTTGATTTTTCAAAGGGGTGGAAGGAGGTAAAAGTATAAATATCCTTTTAATAGTTGATAAAACAAAAAAATATTTATATACCAAGAAACTTTTCCGGTAGAAAATTAGATCTACTTGATTTTTCAAAGGGGTGGAAGGAGGTAAAAGTATAAAAATCCTAGTACTTTTTTTAACAGTTGATAAAATAAAAAAATATTTTTATACCAAGAAACTAGAATATTTACTCAAAACTAATTATTCGATTATGGTTTTTTTTTTTTTTTTTGTAATTCAAAAATGGATATTTATAGAGTCTTGACTTTTTCAATAAATATTATGATAATTTAATGGTTATAATAGTTTTATAATATTTTTAATTTATTTAAAATTGTATAACAGAGAATTGAAGTATTTTCACCACCTGGGTGTTTGGTTGGAATCGTTGAACAAGATTGGTCAATTTTGACACCAATATTCACCATTCGTAATGCAGCTAATGAAGAAGTATTAAAAATCGAAGGACCAATATGTCGATATAGTGTGTGTGGTGGGGATGTTGAATTCAAAGTAATTAAAAAAAAATTTAATCTGTCTAACTATATATTTTGTTTATATTCTAACATAAATATAATTAATTTTAATATGCATTTAATATTTGAATCATATTATAATAATGTTTTTTTAGATATTATCTAAAGACAAAACCACTGTAGTTGGCCGTATATCCAAACAATGGTCTGGACTCATGAGGGAAGTATTTACTGATGCCGATTTCTTTGGTATAAGTTTTCCTATGGATCTCGATGTCCGTATGAAAGCTGTTATGCTAGGAGCTTGTTTTTTGATAGTAAGTTAAATGAGTATTAAAATTTTTCTTTAAAAATTAATTACTACTTCATACTTTTAGGATGTCATGTTCTATGAAAAACGAGGAAATGCAGAAAGTGATGGAATTGGACTTTGTTAACTTTGTTATCTTCCATTATATTATGTATAGTATTTAAATTTATAATCACAGCGGAAATCACACAATTTATGTGTGTTACTATTTTATTTTATTTAAAAACTAATTTATTTTAAAATCTTAAATCTATGATGTTTACGCATAAAAATTTTTTTAAATATTTTTTTACATTCTAGTTTGTTAAAAACCATCATAGTTTCTTTTTTTTAATTGCAAAAGATACCATTATTTCATAATATTTGTTATTTAATTATTGCTTCACTACAGTTTGAATAATGTGATACTTATTTACTCTGTGTCATACAAGAGTAGCATCTGATGACAACCAATTTTCTTCTGATTCAGTCTGAACGCACCCCTCGATTAAATAGATTCTCGTTGTTAGCCGGGCAATTACGTTGACCATACATCCATACCAATTGCACTGCCGTGAGCTAAAGTATTTCACCTAGAATTACTCTAAATACTCTTGTCTATAAAACAGTTCAAGACTAGGCATTAAATAATTAAGAATTCAAAATTGAATAGTAAATTCAGTGGTTTTTTTATATGGAATTTCATATTTCAGTTCCAGACTCGTTTTTCACTTTATTTTACAATATCACTTTGCTGTAAAAATATTAACTCCTCCATGTAAAGTTCATGTACTTTGTTATAAATCAATGTTTTATATTATTGTGTGAAGATTAACAATTAAATTTAAAACTATTAACTTAACTGACAGATCAATATTAATTTAACTCAGTTACCTTTTTATAAATACCAAAAAAAAAACATATAGATCATTATTTTACTTATATTAAAAATACATTTTATTTTATTTTTGTTATAGTAAAACATTTTGAAATGTTTACAAATGTATATTTATATTATGTTGAATTAATTTGATTAATTTTAAATAGCTAAATGTTTTTCTTCGTTATTGAAATTATAATACACAAAAATATGTAGTCCATTTACGTTTGAGAGTTCTTTTCATCGGTGACAGATTTGTCTGATTCAGTCGCATGACTTAACTTCTTTGACTACTATAATACTGACTGCCATTGCCTATAGCTTCTAATTGTAGTTAGTTGTCCAGTTTATGGTTGCATTTTAATGTGTTCATACACATTATTTGCAGTTGTCTAGAGAATGATTTGACAATAAAAAAACCTGTTAAGCAGTGATGGTAATTAATCCCTCCAAATGGCTGGCATGCCACCATTTTGTCCAACATACTGCTGATACTCTTACATAAATGGACTAAAGTGCATGTGTATGCTTAGAATAACATAAAACTATATAAGCTTTAATTAAAATTATCGAAGATATTTCAGGTAATCCTAGTCAATATTATTTAATTTTACATGTCTTTAAAAAAGACTTGACTGTTTACAAAATACTCTAAAACTATTTTTACCACTTTTTCAGTAATATTGAAGGTGTATTCTTATTGCCAAATAACTTATTTTAATTTGATTTAATAACCATATTTATTTGCCGAACAAAAAATGTAAATGTTTGAGGCATTGTTATCAAATATTGTTGTTTGTGAATAACTAACCATTTATTAGTTGTGAATATTTTTTTTTTTTTTTTTCATTTTAACACCTATTATACTAGTTTTAATGTCTTGCTAAAATTGGTTGAAGTGCACAATTATTTATAACTAATAATGTGTATGCATTGGTTACAATTATACTGTAATACCTATTTAATTTTAAATCTAAATTAATGTTTATTTTTTCAACCTATATCTTTACTATAGCACATACTATTGTATGCACTTAATGATACCTGACATGACATGACACTATTATAATATCTAATATGCAATGTATTTTTTATGCTTATGATGTGTAATTCCTATTTGTTGGTGTTTGATTAAATATATTTGTTTATGCTCGTCAATTAATATTGTGTCTTTCATTCTTATTTTTAAAAAGCACACTTGTTTTTAAGTTTAAAACATTCATGTGATCAATAGTTATATTTGGATAATAAAAATAAACTTATGAAAATGATTTCCCCGAAGAAACGATGAATATGTATTTTTAAATTCTCCACATAATTTTTTTTATTTTGTTCATAATTCTTACCTACATAATCTTATTTATTTATTTGCATTAATTGAAAAAATTAAATAACTATACAATGTTTTGGTAAACTTCCGATGTAAAAAAATGCTAAAATCTTCAAATCCTTTTCAGGTTTAGGGCTGAAAGCTATAATTGAAAAATGAGCTTGGGTCCCTAACTGCTTCTGTTTCATATTCTTTTTTTCTTAATATTGACAATATATTGAACTAAAATATTACATAATTTACTATTTTGTATTTTGCATTATGAACCAGAAAAACAAATCATATATTAATACACATAGTGCAATAAAATAATTTGTTTAGTAATCCACTATAAGTTTACAATTGTATTACCTATCTAATAAACTTAGATCTAGTGTCACAAATTCAATGAATAAATCTTAGACTGGAAAGTCATGCTAATTTGACTAAGATGTAAGTCTGTATTATTCAGATAATCAGATATTGTGATAGTACAAATTGTAAATAAATTGAAAAAAACAATGCTAATTAATTATTATTTAATATTCTGTAAAGGGTTCTGCACGTGACCTGTTTTCTTGCTCAAAAATATAACAGGAAAAACTCACGCCTCGTAGAACCAATCCGGACTCGATCAGAGTTCGATAATTTTTTTTTTTTTTAAAGACTTAATATGGCTCATTGGACTTGAATTATCCCCTAACTAACATAAAATAAATTAATCGAATTTGACCATTCTACGGCGAGAGTCTTTCCTGCAAAGCGTGTTTTGGGTAAAAATTCACGCATTTCATTTGTGGTCGACGTTGTCCTTGACGCGCGTGCATAGGTAGCCCGCATACAGTCACACTCGCATTAATTATCATTGACGACTAACAGGAGGGGGTGGGGGGGTTCAACCCGCATGTGGTGTCTCCGTCTTACAAATGTACTACATGGCAAAAACTGTTCTGCGCGGGACAAATTTTATCTTTCGGTGTTTGTGGTAGTGGCACCAAAATTTCGGAACACATAGAGTGGAAAATTATCTATGCAACAGCGTGTCCATATTTTAAATAACATAAACGCAATAAAAGTTATTTGCTTCTAAACATTTTGTTTTTTTTTTCATTTACTCATAAAAAACGATTGGATAGTGTAATTTGAAATAAAGCGCGCTGTTGCACGGATAAAGTTCTTCTTTACGTGTTGTCAAATTTGGTAGTTCTGCGACAAATATGGTACGAGAAAAATTCTTCCTATGTTGTACATTTGTAAGACGGAGACAACACACGAGGGTGTGGCGTCCTCTTAATACATGTCTAAAGTATTTTATTATTGTTATCATCTAACTAGCTGATCCGCCTTGATCAAATTTAATATATCATATAAAATATATTTATTTATACTAACCTTATAGGCTAGATTGTCTAGACATATATTTATATATATCTTTATCAAAATGTATCGTAACTGGTTAATATTTAAAACACGAGTTGTTGGTACGTCGTAAACTGGTAACAAACTATGTTACTATGATGATTTATGGTTGGTGTGTTGCTGTTTTTCATTTTATTTAGAATTTGTATTATAAAGTTATAGCTACTCATTCTTACACTCAGATTAATATCATCGATTTATTATTTAGTTTTGTAATCTTAGTACTTAGCCGATGTACAAGTCGACATATACATAAACGCATAAACTAGCCTAAATGTATTAATTATAAATTATTTACACGGTAAAAGGCCGGACTTGTCCAAATCCACCTTGATTATATTATAGAAATGTCAATAGCGACTTATCACTTATCGTTGCAATGAAATATTTCCATCATTTGTTTTGTGTTACTGCGCGTGATACTCTTAGAAAGCCACCTATACGCCGTTGTATCAAGATTGCCTATACAACACGCCGGTCAACTGGCGAAAGTATACTCTGCCATAATAATATTATTATCTTCGTAGCTTCATTAAACTTGTGGCCGATTTCCCTTTCGCTTGATTACATTTTTCATTTTTAACCTCAACGCCTTTAATATACTATTTCGGTGTAAATTCTGTACTTGACAATTATGTTTTTTTTTATTATAATAATAGATCAAAAATTATTATAAACATAATGTGAACATTTAAAGCGAGGACGATTTGCTAGTATTAGAACTTGATAGGTAAGCAACTACTTAAAACCCGTGGCATGACGAAGGCTATTTTTTAAGGCACCTCAGCCATATAGACGTGTGGGTCTGGGGCTGTGATCTTGTATTCTACAGTTTAAAATTTTTGGAAACATGATAATGTTGACATTTAGATTAGTTTGCGTTGCACGTGTCAGCTATTTTCTGCGGTTCAGCCTTCGAGCACCCACCGTCGGTACACCGGGCCGGAGTCGAGGTGTTCTATGACGCGGAAGAGACGTTTAGGGTTTTCTTTATAAGATGACCGAAGAGAGCCTGACTCTCAAAGAAGAAGAGGAAAAGGCGAGGCAGGCAGAGGAAACCTAATGGACGGGACACGAAAGCGGTGGGTGGAGGCTGGCACTCAAAATGACAACCCGGAACTCGAAGTTCAGGGCGGCGGACTCACTAAACCCCTGTAACCGTTTTTGTTACTTGGTTTCCTGTTTGTACTTCTGTAGTATTTTTATTTATTTTTTAATACAATAAACTATGGGGGCGCTGTCGACGTGTTCCGGCAGCGTATAACACGAAAAAAAGAGATTATGTTTGTGTTGTATGCGATTTGCGTCTTCTGAATTAGGACGATAGAGTACAACGGAGGAATGAAGCAATAAGTAACGATACATAGTTATTGTGTTATTACTTTACTTTACGCCTAGCTTGGTACAATGAAGTGAGGTTATTCGAAAAGATTCGCAGTGACACACAAGTTATTTATTAAAAGATTAGTTGCAGTTATAATGAGTAAAAACATGAAATAAGAAATTATTTGATCAGGCATCAGAAGATGGCAGGTCCTTTTCGAAAAATGCTTTGCGTCGGCTGTAAAAAGAACTGCGTGAAACGTTTATTTATATTATATTTTTATGGTGAGTTTAGCTAAGCACTACATTTTGTATTACTATTTTATCGATAATTTCTATTTTTTACCCCTGAAACATTGCTATTTTTTTCTGCCGTGTTGTATTTAAAGGTTTTCATGGTTATACGATCTGTAACATACGCAATAATTAAAGGTATAGTACTCACCCGATAAACTTCTCCTTGTTGCAATAAATAAAATAGGTTTTTGTGCAATAAGTAGAATTTTTTTTTTTGATAAATAATGGTTGGACTTTATAGCCGTTATTAAGAACAGCAATAGTTCACGTTTGGTTATAAGTTATGAGAAAATAACTGAGAGAGACATTAGTTTCTATCGAGAAAAATATAACAATACAAGAAAACACTAAACAGGAAGTACGCTCTAGTACCCACACTTTGATAAATGTATTTACATTTTATTTAACGTGCCAGCTAGAGTGAGCCACCGTTTCAGAGCGCGTCAATTTAAT